ACACACTAATTCCAGAAGTGAAAAAGGGGGGGTTCAGAATATTGCTTTATTTAGGTGCCAAATATTGAAAAAAATCACCAAATGTTTAAATGTATAGTTTATGTTTTTCTTCTGAGATGGTCTCTGCTATTGAGATCGGGCCTGAGGAGAATAATATAGCATTTCGGGACGAAGATGCAAGCCAGGAGACCAGCGCCAGAGGTCAAGATGGAGAACACCTCCACAACCACTGCATTCTTCCCCTTGGTGCTCAGGTAGGTGGGCACAAAGGAGACCCACACGCTGCAGAAGACCAGCATGCTGAAGGTGATGAACTTGGCCTCATTGAAACTGTCGGGCAATTTCCTAGCCAGGAAGGCCACCAGGAAGCTGAGAAGAGCCAGGAAGCCCATGTAAGCCAGGACAATGTAAAACATGGTGACAGAGCCTTCACTGCATTCCACAATGATCTCTCCAGACAGGGAATGGAAGTCCAAGTTGGGCAAAGGGGGAGACATCAGCAGCCAGACAACACAGAACACAGCTTGGATGAGGGGACACACCAGCACAATAGAGGTGGTCAATGATCTCCCCAAGAGTTTTCTTGCCATGTATCCTGGCTTGGTGGCCATAAAGGCAAGAACCACCATGCTGGTTTTTGCCAACACACAAGAAACTGCAAGAGAGAAAGTGATGCCAAAAGCAGCTTGTCGCAGAAGACAGGTGAGCTGTCTGGGTCGACCGATGAAGAGGAAGGAGCAGAGGAAGCAGAGCAGGAGAGAGATGAGGAGGGCGTAGCTGAGGTCTCGGTTGTTGGCTTTGACAATGGGTGTATCACGATATTTAATGAATGTTGCCAACACGAGAGATGTGCAGAGACAGAGGAAAAGAACTAGAGAAGCTAAAATGAAGCCCAGCATCTCTTGAAAGGAAAGGAAGTGGATCTTCTTGGGGATGCACCGGTTATGGTTCCTGTTTGGCTGCTGATCTTGTGGGCATAAGGTACAGTGAGCTGCATCTGAAATGACAAATAGCTGCTGAAGTATCTCAACCAGACCACCTAAGTTCTTTAGGGGTAATTCCTGTCCACAAAGGAATTGTGAAGATCCCATTTCCTTATCTTAATTTGCAACTTTTAATTAAGCTTTGGAAAATATGCCATAACTATTAAAAAAATCAAAAGTGTCCACTGCCCACCAACTTCTATATTATTGACGTTAATTCTTTTGTCATGAAAAATCCTCTTTAACAAAAAATAAGAACTGGGTCATGTCATGATGCACCCTGCACTATTACCCAAATATGCACACAAACTCATTCAATCATATGAAGCACAGTTTCTCTTCATATTGTGCCCTGATCTCTGAGATCTATTCATGCTGAGGCTGGAGATCGGGCTGCAGAGACCACTAATGAAAAAAGGGGGCAATTTGGTTCTGGTTGGTGTAAAATCCTGCAGTGTTGCAAGAAGGACTCACCAGCTGCAATAATCAGCATGTTGCCCAAACACCTTTAGGTCTCATGTAAACCCATTCAAGTGAGAAACAGAAACTTGAGAAGGATGAGGATGAGGAAGTGCAGGGATGGAAAGGTTTCTGAGTATGATGACATTTATTCATTCATTCATTCGTTCATTCATTCATTCTTTATTTATTTATTTATTTATTTAAAACTTTTCTATACCTTCCCATCAAAACATCTTGGGATGGTTTACAATAATATTGATAAAATAGAATAAAAATAATAAGAGTAAAAACATTGGAGTATTCAGAATCCCGTGTAAAACCATAAAGTAAAACAACTTAACAATTTAAATATTGAGAGAATAAAAAGGCAGGGAAAGGAAAGAAGCGTTGGCACCAGATGAACCTTTCTGGGGAGCGTTTTCCACAGTTGGGGCACCACCACAGAGAAGCCTCTATATTCATAATCTACACAGCTAACTGTAATATTACTTACATTTGCAGAATGTTTCATCTGCAAATGTTGAACATTCTGCAAAGGAGAAAACCACAGAAGTCTGAAATCTAAGATAGTTAACTTCTAGCGTGGTGGGGGGAGAACCTTAGAAACTACACATTGTCCCTGAGCTTCCCTTGGTCCCCTCAACAATTTCTTGTATTATTGTATGACCTTCTGCATTTATACAATTCCTCTTCACAATTGAGGTACCTGTAGAAGTGGAAAACATTCCTGATTTACAACGCTCACATTGGTAGCAGCAAACAGGCTTCCCCTCTGGAACTCTCCTCCAGTGCCCTGGAGTGCATCTCTCCACACACCTTGCATGCGGCATTGTCTGAAAATGAAAGAAAGGAACTCTTCAAGATATTTGGAAAGAACAATGCACTGAAGTGCAACTCAACAGACATTCCACCAGTAGAAGTTTGGCATTGCTTGGCAGATGGAAGCACCAATCTGGGTAGAATGCACAATTTTTGGATGTGTCCAGCTTTCTCAGCAAGAATGAAACAGAGTCTCCAATTGAAACCCTTCTGAGGCAGAACCAGGGTCTTTGGAAGCTGCCCTTTCTGGGGCCCAACCCTCAGTTCATCATGCCCATCCCTGCCTATTACTGGCAATCCCCCTGCAGGAATACAGGCATCGGACCTCTTCCTGCACTTCCCTTTAGCGTGCAGCAACTGAACATTAGATTTTTGGTGAGATAAGTTTGTTCTTTTCAAGAGGACAATGATACCCCGCTTCCCAACAGGCAGTAGGACATTTGTCTCACAAAGAAGCACAGCATCTTTTCTCAAAGAGTGGAAGTGTGCCATGCCTCTTCTTCCATGACCAAAATGGTTCACTTCAGCCTGACCTTTGTGGCCCACACGATTGCTGCAGGGTGGATGGAGAAGTCTTTGCCTGGGGGAGCACCATGATCGACCCATCCAATCTTCACAGGGTCCAAAGTCCCATTTGGAGACACACTCCAGTTCAAGATGTCATATTTCCTGTTTTTTCCAGTGAAAGAGATTTCCTCCCCAGCACTGTTGTTAAACCAGACATTCCTCAGAGAATGCATTATCTGAAAATGCAGAAATATTCAGAGCAGGGGTGGTAAAATCTTTTTCAATGCACTCTCTCTCCCATCCATTCAGAGATCTGTTTTCCCCTCATTATTCTATTGTGAATGTTAATTGTTAGATGCAGTCCCTTTTGGTCATATCCACTCAGGTAAGCTTGCACACTGTTTGGGCATCTTTGCCAGTTGTCTACAACCTCCCCTGGATCTTGACAGAGAAACAGGAAAGTTTTGCTTGTAGCAGCATCAGAGGAGAAGCAGCTGGCTGGGGCTGGGGCTGGGGCTGAAGATGTTTTGTTTCCTCCCTTCTCAACATGCACAACTGCAAAAGCATCCATATTCCAGTGCACTGAGAAACCCTGAGGATGCTTGTATGTGATCTGGATGCAAATATTACCTGCCATGGCTGAAGCCTCCTGTCTTTCCCCATTGATGAATGTTTCTGTCCAGACAATGTCAGGGAATGTAGTGCATGTGCCACAGAGTAGACAGCATTGTAGGTGTGGTAGCTGTGACTGGACATGCCCAAGTCAAATAAGAACTTGCTTGGATCCATCTGCATCTCCCTTCCAGTACACTGTTTCCGTGATGGTGGAAGGCGTTCTCCTGATCGTGGAAACTGACACATAAATGCATATTCCCACCACTCATGAAGAAAGACGTCTCCTTGTGGTTGGAATGGATCTAACGCCTGGAGAAAAGGCATGAACCCTGGTACATCCCTTGTGTGAACTGTGAAGTGCAAAGCTCCGTGAAGGGTTTTAAAAAGCTTTCTGTACAAAGGGTGTGCCCTTGCTTCAACTGCTGAATGGGAGGTAAGGATCCAAGCTTTCTGAAATGGGATCTTTGTATTGATTTCATGAACATGTAAGTGGGTTGTTAATTGTAGAAATGCAGAGTTGCCTCCAAAGAAAACTATGACTTCTGCTTCAAACCACACATGAGGAATGTGTCCTGTCATCACTTGAAGCTCTTGTGTAGGGTCAAATGTTGAGAATATCTCCATGAAGGCCACACAGAGGTCCTTCTGCTGCATCTGTGAAGTCAGATCCTGGAGGAAATACTCACCATGGTCATCACTCTGAACAAGCAGCCCGATCCAGTTCCAGTGGAAATGCAGCAGCAGCCAGACTAGGCCCTCGTACCGAGGAACCTCTTGGGGATTAATCTGGAATAAGGACATAAACACAACTTTGGTCCCTGAATACATTGGAGCAGTCACTGTAGGAGCTGAACCAAGATAATTCCATTAACCTTCAAATGAATATTGGGTTTCTTTTTGAACACAGTGATTCTGTTTTTTGTAGAATAAGCCTCCATCGTGTTGTAGCCATAGTTTGAAATGCATTAGGTACTATTCTAGAGAAGGAATCTTTCTTTCTGCTGGGATAAATAAATAAAAAGGAAACTCTCAACTGGCCCCCTCTCCATCCCTGTGTACATGCACTCCCAGATACAAGCAAACAGCCACAACTAGTGGAGACACGTTGAAGAATTTTCGGACTGAGATGGACCAAGCCCTGGCAGAAGGACTACCCTTGGCCAAAATGAGATATATTCACATTCAAAAGGTGCATCTCGCTATATGTAAATGCAGAGCTTTGGGGATTTTCATTCTGTCTTCTAGGGTGTTTTCCATTCCATCCAGTTTTTTTATCATATTAAAATCAGATTATCTTTCCTTGTACTTCCTCATCTAAATCATTTATACGTAAGCTGAGGAGCACTGGGTCCAGAACGGAACCCTATGGCACTCCACTAGTTTCCTTCCTTCAGTCTGAGAAGGCACTATTGATGAGCACTCTTTGTGTTCAATTAAGCAGCCAATTTTGGATCCACCTAATTGTTTTTCCATCTAATCCAGTTTTTGCTAATTTGCTCATCAGAATGCCATGTGGCACTATGTCAAAAGCTTTGATAAAGTCTAGGTAGACTCATCCCACAGTGTTCCTTCTGTCCAATTGGAGGTTACCAGACAAAAATTGAGATTAAATTTAGTCTGACAGATTTTATTTTTCATAGAGTCATGCTGGTTTCTATTAATCACTGCATTTCCTTCAAGATGCTTGCAGATGGATTTTTTAATAATTTGCTCCAGAATTTTTGCAGAGAAAGATGTCAGACTAACTGTAGTCTGTAGTTCACAGGCTCATCTCCCCTCTTTTTTTTTTTTTTTTTTTGAGCACAGGGACAACATTAGCCCTTCTCTAGTAATCTGGAACTTTCTTGTAGTCTAAGATTTATCCAAGGTAATAGCTAGTAGTTCTGAGAGTTCTTCCACTAGCTCTTTTATGACTCTGGGAGGGAGTTTATCAAGCCCTGAAGATTTCAACCTGTTTATTGCATTTAGGTATTCTTGACAGTATGTCTGTCAATCTTAGGCTTCCATCTCTCACTTTCAGCTTGTTTCCTCTTGTTTGCAGATTTCCTTGTGGGCGATGTCTGAAGTGAAGTAGGAAGTGAGTGCCTCTGCATTTTCTTTGTCATCAGTTATCACTCAGCCTTCCACTTTAAGTAGCTGGGCACTCTTCTTTTTCTCACCCTATTTGCTTCTTTCTCAATAGGTTGTCACAGGAATACCTGATATTTCTCTAAATTGGTCGCTTCCATAAAACAGACCCATGTGCTAGGTGGGATTTGTCACCCAACACTCTCCTGAGATTCATTCCTAGCCTCCTTTACAGTGGTCTCATGGTGTTCCCTCCAGGTGAGAGGCCCCCATGCTCTTTAGAATGGAAGGAAAACAGCATGGACAAATCTTTTCTCAGAAATGGTCCTTTTCTCTGCAGATTCCTTACACTTATCTCCAGATGAATGCATTTACCTGTGGGATCTTGAAGATGCCCATCAAGGTTGATAGAGTTCTGGAGTCAAAGTCCTGTATGACAGAGATGAGTTGATCCTGTTTGTCACATTTATAATTGGGAATCATTCTTCTCCGTGTAGACAGCAGGAGGAGGTTGTTGCAACGCATTACTCTAGCCATGTTCCTGTTCTGATAGATGCGGAAGCCAAGCGTCATGTTGAGAAGGAGAAATGGATCTTTGTTGAGCTCAGTGATGGCAAAAACCAAAGTCTTGATGTGCTGGTAGTTCCTGGTTACTGTCCTGTCATGGCAAAAACAATATCAGGACATGGGTGAGGTGAAGCACAGAACGGGTGACTTATTTTTCTTCATGGAAATGTGTGCCCAGATCTTTCTGCAGGGGTGACTCACTCAGGATAAATCTGGCTGGACATCCTTTATTGAACGAACCACCTTAAATAACTAGGCAAAGGAAAGCACAGGAAAGAGGAGCCTTCCCAGAGGAGAGGAAATTGTTTCTTTGCAGGGCAGCAATGGGTTTCTCTCTCTGGTTCCCAAGATGAGTGCAGAGCACCCCAAAAGGAAGACATTTCCTTTTTTTACACATGTAGATAGATGGAATCCTGGAATGCAAACTGTATTTAGAGGTCAGGTTTGAAGACACCTCCCACCCTCACATCATCTGTTCTCCAGGAATTCAGCTGAGCCTTTCCCAAGCAAATGTAATTCCAGGAACCACCAGTGCAATGCCAAGCTCTCTGTAATGCACAAACAGTTTTTGCTGTCTGATCCAGACCTCATGGAAGGGAAGGACCTTGGGACAAGCTGGGCCCCCTGCTTCACATACAGGAGGTATGAAGGTCAATCTTGGCATCTCCAGGGAGAGCTTGGGAGGACCATCTTTGGAAAACCTGGTCTGTGGCTTCCTGTCACTGCTAGCACAATGAATTTGAGTGCACCAACACTCTGAGACGATGTAAGGAAGCTTCTGAGAACATGTGTAATGCAGAACCACATGGACTTTAATTTTTTGTTGTTATGCGGATGACTGAGTACTTCCTTCAAGTGTCGATTCTCCCAGATCTTGGTATGTCAATCGGTAGGGGAGACCTTGACTGATCTAAGGACTCTGAGATATACACAGCCAACCTCCCAGGAAGCAAGCAACCAGAACAAGCAAACAGAGAGCAACCAGGCATTTGGAAGTGCAGTTTAGTGGAAGAAGAGGCAAAGGCAAGAAGGGGCAGGGGCAGAGAGGCCAGTAGCCAGCACTAGCCCAGCAAACATTATCTTCCAACGGACCCTTTTGTTCCTGAGAACTGCAGCAGAAATAGAGTTCCCTGATTATTTCCTGACTCCTAGTTGAGCATATCTGAGGAAGCTTCCCCAGCTGATCAAAAGACTGTGGGACAGACGTAGCAGAGCTCCCAGGGTGAAAGTGACCAGACCGAGTGAAGAGGGACAGCAAGCTGAAGTTTCCTTGTGGAGTTCAGTGGAGGAGATCATTTGGTCAAGGTCCCTCCTGTCAAAGCTCTGCAACACTCAAGCTCAACCTTTTCCTCCAGAGCAGCATCTCTGACTTGCTTGTCTGAAATACACGCCCTGGTGTGAAATCAAACACACAAACATATATCCAAAATTTCTTTGAGGGAAACCTACGGTGCATTGGTGTAATGGTTGAACCTGGGAAATGTATGGAAGTCAGGTACATTTTCAGAGAAATAGCTGCCAAGTAGTAAATTCCCACCAACAATCATGTCTCCCCGCTTGTAATAGTCTCTTGGTTGTGGAAATAGCAGTCTCACAGCACACCTGGTTCTCACTATCCTCTGGGTGGCCTGAGGCAGGAGCCAAAGAAGCGAGACAAGCAAGATCATCAGCATCACTGACCTCTCCAGGCAGAGAGACACAGACAAGCAGTCATTTCACAGCCCCAGCCCAGCAGGAGGACTGGATCTTACTGCGGGGTATGAAGATGCTGAGTGACTGGACACAACCGCAGCCTCACAGGAAGGGGCTCTGATCATAATTATAACAGGTGCACTTTCTCTGGGATTTCTGAGTGATTGACCTCCTGCATTCAAATCCCTGTGCAATTGATCAAGAACTTCTGCCATTTCCGTAATTCCAGGTCTGAGAAGTCACCATACCCCAAGAATTGCAATGGTGGAAAACAGCATTGCATCACTCCTTTCTTTTCTGCAGCACTGGGGTCTTCAGCTGAGTTGTCTCTTTTTCCCTTTGACCTGTGAACTTGTGTAAACTTCTACAAGTCTGCTAACAATCTGCTGGCTTGGAGAGGGAGAGGTTGTACCTGGTTGTGGCAGCAAAGGGGCAGTGCTTGAGGAAATGGCTGCAATTTTTAGAATCATAGAATCCTGCAGAACTGATCTGGATGGTCCACCAGGAAGCACCAGAGTGACTGATTGCTCTGTCCCGTCATTTGCCCAGCTTCTCAATTAAGGGGCCAATTTCTGGATTGCGGTGCTTCAGAAATGGAATGCCCTGCAATGTGTTGGCCAAATGCCCATTATCTAATTAATTGATTGAATTCCTTTTCTATACTGTCCAATGGCTAAAGCTGCCTGGGCAGCCATTGACTGACCTATCTGGCAATTATCATGCCTGGACTCCTCATTGGACCCTCTCATGGATTGGATAGTGCTTGCTTTTCAGTGTACACAAATAGTGGGGATGCCCCTTGGCTGTGTAGTGGTGAGACATAGGTGGGATAATGGTAGGGTTTTCATCTTGTAGCAACCGCATGCTCCAGAAAACTTCAGCTTTTGGGTGGTAAACAGGCCAGATGAACAAATGCAACAAGCACCACTATGTATCACTGACTGCCAAACACCCAGCAGGACTCCAAATGATGCACATGCTCCTGGGCTTCCTGAACTCCCTCATTCCACCTGGTGTTCTCCTGGGGATGCTGCCGGGATGCTCCCGCTGAGCAAACAGGCTTGCCTAGAGTGAGATGGGGTGGCTTAGGGAGAAGACCTGGCCCAGCTCCTGCTCTAGAGGACATGTCTCGACATGGAGGGGTACCTGAGCAACTCAGTTCTTCTGTTGCATGTCAGGACAGTTCCTCAAAGTGGATCAGCTGCTGCTCAGGTTGGACCTGGGGCAGGGCCCTGGCTCAAAAGAAAAGTCTCAAAAAGGGAGTAGCCCCATGGCACCCACGTCCCAGCTCTCCTTCCTGGTGGCTCAGTCTCAGGCACAAGGGATGGGATGGGTGTTGCGTCCCATTTTGGAGGAGGCCTCCCAGCTCCTCCCCATGGAGCAGCTTCCTCTTCCACCACTTCATGAGAGCAGGACTGTCCAGCACAGCTGGAAGGCTGAGGAGCTCACTGGGAATGTTCTTGGTGGAATTCACACATATAAGGAATCCTGTGCCCTCTACCAATTCTTTTCTGTTACAATGACAGGGGTACTTTCTCCAGCAGGTCATTTCTATCTCCACTCTCTCCCAGTTAGGCTTTTGCAGTCAGCTCTGGGAATTCCACCTCTCCCTGTCTCCCTCCAGGTCCCTGCACAGTTGTCCTTTGGCCTGAAGGGGCTGCATCTCTTGCTGGGAAAGGGTCCTGTGGGTGAACTGCCCTCCCTGCATCTCCCACTTTGAGCCAAAGGAGGTAGGCTTGGTTAGTTGGCTGTATTCCCCCAGTCTCTTATCTTGGGGAGTCTTAGCACTGAGGATGTGGCCACTCCATTTCAGGGAGCTCAGGATTTCAGGGCCTCCATGGCAACCACAGGAATGTCCCAGTGTTGTGCTTGGTCTAATGTAGGAAAGTGGGCTGGGCTGAGCTGAGCTGAGCCAAGCCAAGTTAAGAGGAAGTCTGTAAATGCTCACAAATCAAATGCAGAGAAGCGGTTACCACCTTCCATGCCAAGTGAAGCTCAAACATTTGCTCAGCAGGATCTCTGAATGGAAAAGGGCACCTGAAGCATTTGATAGAGCAGACTGGGGTTCATGGAGCTGATCCAAGGCAACCCATTGGATTCCCCCTCTCTCACGAAAAATTACCTTCCTCAGGCATCCTAGACTGTCCAAACCTGCTTTCAATTCAGCGTATGTGGCAAAGGATATTCTTGGGTTTTTTTCTTTCCTAGCTGAGCATGGAGGTGGTAATTGGAGGGTGGGGGGATTTAGAATCCCCCATGGTTAGAGCAGTGAGTGATGTGATCTGAAGCTATGGCCACCTCTCCCCTCTGCCAGGGCTATGAACATCTGAAAATGGACCACCTGAGAGATGAACACATCTTGATGGTTTCCAAGGTTCTTGCAGGGGCTTCAAGCTGAGATGCAGGTTAGATGAGAGCAGGTGTGCATATAGAGAAGTCCTAGTGGAGGCTGACAGATCCATGAAGTTTCCCATGGGAAGGTATCTTTAAGGCAGAAAGCATGGGAAAGGAGTAACATGTCATTGCTTGCCACATTCTTTTCCTTCATGGTCACTGGAGCTTGTCAAGGCTGTCCAGGGACATGAAGATGCTGCTCCCAAGAACATCTCAGAGGCCTTGGAATCCTAGTGCATGGAATCTCCAGGACAAAATCCCTTGCATCCGCCAGTGCTTTGCTTCCAGATCCATAGCAGGTGCTTTGGGCAATGTACCAGAGCACAGGCTGGTCAAGTATTGTTTGAGGAATTTCTCTTCATTCAGCTCAAGGACATTGACCAGGTCCTTGGGCAGGTTTCTGCAACCAAATCTGTTCAGGATCTGCTCTCTTCTTTGTTCAAAATGCCAGCCAGATGAGCACACCTGACTGAGCCAAGGAGTTGATTGGTGCTCTTTTGGAGATGGAGGGGTCTGAGTCCTCTTCAGGAGGTGTGGGTGAGACTGGAGAGATGTTTCCAGTCTCCAGTCCCAGACTGGAGATATGTCCCAGTGCCACTGCTTTGGCATTGGGTATCTTTCAGATTTCTGTGGCTCAGCTCCTGGCTCAGGCCCACTTTCTCTCTGTTCTCACCAAGAATTTGTATAGACAGCTGTTCAAAGCAAGTCCACATTTTCCAGAAGAATAATGAGCTCTGCACAAAGTCTGGTGTTCAAAACTTTTGGCTTAGATGCTGTGAGCCACTGTTCTTTCCTATGGTATGAGGGATTATCGTGACAGGGAACTGGCAACCCACTGGAGACCCCTTTCCTCAACACTGAATCCCTCTCCACTTCCTCAATATTTTCTGCCTGCCAGAAACTTGGACAGGGCCAGAGATATTTGTGTGCTTTGTTCTTGCACCAGCCACGCTGAAAGGCCACGAAAGGCCACAAAGGCCTTTCAGATGGGGAGATGAGGAAAACCCTGCATCTTCTCCATGTGGCTTCTCATTAGCTCACGCACTTGCAATTTGCAATGGATATTTTCAGCTATGCATTTTATCCTGCTTTGTCTGAATTACTGAAGTGTGATGCAAGCCAGGATCTGATCTTCAGAATTAAAAAATGAAAAAATAAAAATAAAAGGAATCTTGAAGCAGCCCCTGGAGTGGAATAATGAGAACGTAGCAGGAGTGAATTTGCAATGATGAGCTTTATTCATAGACTCATGGAGTCATGGAATCACGCAATAGTGGAGTTGGAAGGGGCCATGAAAGCCACTAGTTCTAACCCCCTGCTGTTGCAGGACACCAAGTCACACCATCCCATTCAAGAACTTTCATGGAAAATTTGCAAGGTTAAAGGAAGTAAAGCAGTAGAGGTTGTGTACTGTTAGAGCCAGAAATTAAAGGACCTACGCCTGACCTGTCATTCGATGGAACAGGGGGTACCTTTCAGGCACAGTGAAGTCTGTGGGACACCACAAAGAACCATGAAGATCTGACTCCAGAGTTCAACTGAACTATTTACACAGCTCTGCAACATGCTTTTACCCAAATCTAACCCCCATAAGGTAGCTGTGCTCAATATTTAGCTCTGCACACTTCAGGTGCTGATGGCCTCCTTTTCTGTGGAAAACATGTGTCACTACTTTGGAGCTCTGAGATGCCTTTTCCACCATGTCTTTCTGACGGGCTGACCAGGATGCATTAGGTGAAAACCACCCCACAATCTGCAAAAGCTTGGACTTGTTCAATTGGCCGGTTCTCCATGGGCCATTGGTGGACCTTGTCACATCAAGAGAACACTGTGTCTTTGTACTTGTGGCTTGAACACCTTTTAACAGCTGGGTGTTCTTTGTGGCAATACTTGGTGAATGCTCTCAGGTTTTGCAGGCAGTTTAGGGTCAGGAATGCTGGAGAAGCTGGATTCTTAACACTGTCATTGAGATGTCAATTAAAAGAGGAGGAGAGAGGATGCAGCTTTGTTTGACTCCCTTTGAAACAAGTGTGTGCTCAGTGAACTGTCCATCTGGCAAGGATCTCACATTCATCCAAGTGTTGCTAAATAAACATATGATCAGAAAGAGAAGTCCTTGCCCAAAAATAGAAGATTCACTTTGTCCAGAGTCTGGTGTGAGAAACTGAATCAAATGCAGCCTTCAGATACATAAGAGCCCCATACAATGGGCCACCATGTCTCCAAGTGTATTTCTCAATGAAATGAGCTAGAACAAAGCAGTGATCTACTTTGACAAAAGTGAAACTGAATGACTTCTTTTAATTGATATACAAACAAAAATGACCCAATTAACTCCAGTACAGAAAAAAGTTTTTTAGCATATTGATTTATTTTGTTAATCAGGAAGTGTGTAGATTACTTTTTCTTATGAGATGGTCTCTGCTATTGAGACTGGGCCTCAAGACAATGATGTAGCATTTGGGAAGAAAGATACATCCCAGGAGACCAGCCCCAGAGGCCAAGATGGAGAAGACCTCCATGACAACTGCATACTTCCCCTTGGTGCTCAAGTAGGTGGGCACAAAGGAGACCCACACACTCCAGAAGACCAGTATGCTGAAGGTGATGAACTTGGCTGCGTTGAAGCTGTCGGGCAATTTCCTAGCCAGGAAAGCCACACTGAAGCTGAGGAGAGCCAGAAAGCCCATGTAAGCCAGGACCGCATAAAACATGGTACAGAGCCTTCATTGCATTCAGCGATGATCTCTCCAGCCAGGGAATGGAAGTCCAGATTTGGGAAAGGGGGAGAGGTCAGTAACCAGAAAACACAGATCACAGCTTGGATGAGGAGACACAGCAGGACAATGGAGGTTGTCAGTGGTCTCCCCAAGAACCGACTTGCTATGTTTCCTGGCTTGGTTGCCATAAAGACCAAGACCACCATGTTGGCAGCAACACTTTTGAGTGGGGGTCTGGAGGGGCAGGAAGGGAAAGCGTCCGTCTGGTGTTCTTCAGTTCCTCCTGATTTCACTCGACTTGTTCAAATGTGCTTTGAAGGTGGAAACGGGTGTGGGTGAGGCAAAAAGTTACATATATCTGTTTATCTGAATTCTTATATATACATTTCTTTTTTATGTGCAAAGTTAAGGTCCAGCCATCATGAAATTCCTCCATAGAAGAAATAGAACAAAAGTATACAAATCACACACAGAAGTGAGGATTAAGAACGGGAAAACCTGTATTTACAGCTGTAAACATGGACTTTGGAAAAACAAAAGGAAAGAGAAAAAAACCACAAACCTCACGATTCATTCCCATGGTTTCATACAGCCTCCCCACTTTCTTGGCCTGTTTTTCTGAGAAGTGCACATTCCAGGCAGATGTAGCTGGACCCTGAGAGACCTGGGAAGTTTAGCTGGTATGAAACTGCATCTGCAGGGCGGTGGGGAACCTTTCCAATGAGATCTAGCAACTTGAATCTTCAATGCATGCCCGACTTTTTCTCACTAAGGGCGCAACGCTATGCCTGCTTAGGCAGAAAGCGGTGCACCATCTCTCAGTGTCTGGCGGACCTTACAAGAGCTCCAGAATCGCTTTATGTCCAAACACACAAAAAGGTGAGGCCCTACATGGAGTGAAAGGACCACCTCCACTTGTTTTGGCACACATTAGGTTCGAGGGCGCTTTCAAATGGCCTCTGTCTTTGCCGTGTTGAACTCTGATGATGCTCTTCTTTTCGTGAGCATCCAAAGCGCTTCCCAGACAGGAAATGGCACCTGATGTCTCTTGGGAGGGGACCTGCCGAATGCAGGGGGCTTAAGTCAGACCTACTGGTTTTGGGGGTTCACCTGAAGCACGACGAGGACTTCCGCCTGGCCCTGCCCTTACTGGCACCCTTGCAAGGGAGGTCAGCACTCACAATTGTGCTCACACTGTTACAGTGTGCTTGGGTTCCTGATGGCCTAAAATCCATGGAGAAAACCTGGAGAATCACAATGCTTTATGGAACTCTTGGATAAGGGTTTCCTTGGAAACCAGATAGTCTCCTCTTTACAGAATCAAGGACCGCTTCATTTCGCTTACAACACACCCCTTGCAGAAATCACAGGGCTGAGTGAAGAGGGGTGTCTTAAGGCTGCTGAGACATCCGCAGCTGACCTGGAACATACAGTATGCCCAGGAAGCCCCACTGGTGGGACCTGAATCAAATTGACCACCGCATCACAAGCACCCTGAGGTCCCTTTCACAAGTGCTGGTCTCCAGACACTTGTCCCCTAACCTGTACTTATGACACCCATTCCCATGCACCAAGTGCAAGAACTCACACTTATCCACATTGAACGCCATCCTGTTGTCTCCTGCCCACTTCCATAGTCTGTCCAGATCCTTTTGGATCTGGTTTACCTGCTCCTCATTTCTGGCCACTGCTCCAGTTTTAGTGTCGTCTGCGAATTTGAGCAGCAGACTGTTCAGCCCTTCTTCCATGTCATTTATGAAAAGATTAAACAAGATCAGCTCCAGGGGAACCGCGCTTGTCACTGGCCGCCATCCCGATGATTCCCCACTAATGGTTACCCTCTGCTTTCGGTCGGTCAACCCTGCCCTAATCCACTGGACAGTGCTTTGGTGCATCCCAAAACTCCTCAGTTTCACCACCAGGATATCGTGGGGCACTTTTCCAAAGGCCTTGCTGAAATCCAGGTAAACCGCATACACTGCATCCCCTCCATCTAGCCATCCTGAAACCTTGTTGTAGAATTCCACAATTTTTTTTTCTGGCAGGACCTGTTATTGCAGAAGAATCCTTTGGTTTCACAAATACAATGTCAAACATCCCACTAGTTTTATATTGCCCTTTTCACCCCCTCCAACTATTACATTAAAACATTAATAAAGTTGATGAAGTTTTATTAGTTAGATATGTTTATTTCCTGTATTACTATCAAAAACTTAGGACTTGCTCAACCATTTTAAAAGATTTTCCAAACAGGTCAGCATATAGTCAGGATTATGTGAGGACTTTTTTCCTGATCCGTGGTGGTAGATATCCTGAAAATTAGGTACCGACTTTTTTTGGGTTTTTGCTGATCTGATTTTTTTAGTGTTTGTGTATTTAATGTGCAGCTCACGAAAACTTTTTTTTTTTTTCCTTTTCGGCCCAGAGAATCCAAAAGATTCGACACCCCTGGTTAGGAGATCGAAGCGCCCTGGAATGTGTCAGACGCCTTTTGAACCCCCTGGACTGCTGACCAGGCACCAGAGAGCCCGCAGCCCTACGTGCACTCAAGGAGAGTCCCGTTATGTGCGGATGACACAACACAGAAGCGGTGTCTAATGTGTTGGAGAAATAGATTGTGTCAGCTATATGCTGCCACTGTGTGGCAATCAGAGAAAAGGCAACACATGTCATTGTGGCATAGTGAGAATTCATATACTGCAATTGTGCAATTCCCCTTCATGGATCACTGCCTTCTCGTGGAGAAGGGGAATCAATTACAACTGCTCTTTAAAGAGAGAAGTCTGCACGACAAAAAACATATTAGCTGCCCTGCGAGCAGCCTGTCCCAGCATTTAAATGGGCTGGCAGAGTGAGAAAGAGAAAGTGCGCATGTATGCACGAGCCTGAATGTAATGGGGTGCGTATAATGCTGACTTCAGTTTGTATTAGTTCTGCCTAGTCTCTTCTCAGCACTCTGGTTTCTGCTAATGGAAAATCAAGCCCATCGTATGGTAAACATGGGAAGCAAGTGCATTAATAGTGGGCACTGACATTAGACTGTAAACAATTCACTACTGCTGCCCCTACATACTAAACTATATGTCCTTTGATACTTTCACAGGGCTATTTTCTTCACGTTTTTTTTTTCAGAACTGAAAGCACTGAGAGCTTGCTTGCTTACTTGATTCCTTGCTTGCTTGCTTCCTTGCTTCCTTGCTTTCCTTCTTAGCTGTCTCCTCTGATCAACCATTATTTTGAAATCCTCCGGTAAACCCTAAAGAAAAGGAATACTACTTGCAAACGCTTCCCAACCCAGCTACGTCACCTAAGTTCACTGCCATTCCATTCTTGCTCTGTACTTCTGGAAAGTTAAGCAAGGCAGAGGAGGACTGGGGGGAGAGGGGGAGTGAAATAAGCAAATGCAAGAGGCAGGAAGAAAAAAGACCTTAGTATACAGTAGCATGCGTGTCAGCAATGCTTTTTCCCCCCAGCCATATTCTCCCCCTCCCGATATTCTCTCCCTCTCACACACACACGCACACTTTAACTGTGCTTTTGTGTTTTGTAGATAGAGGATCGTACAGACTTCTGCTTTTAGACCATTCTGCCCCTGTACAGGGGTGCCTATCTTGTATTGGTTTTCAAAAAAAGTTAAGCACCCAAATGTGAGTAGACTTGGGTCCTTCTAGCACTCCCAAGACAATTCTGATTTTCATATCATTTGAACAGTGGCCAGAAGGGAGGAACAAAGAACTATTTCTGATGGGATGAGTCACAATAAATGAGTCACACGCAATAAATGAGTGGTTGTTTAGGTGTGCTTTCAATGCCCTTGTGACTCTCCGCTTTCGCTTTTGCTTTTCAGCAGCACTTTCCTTGAGGTTACAAAGAAATAGAGGGGGAAAGGCAGGATTTATAACATAAAAGGAAAGCGGATATTTGCGCCACTCCACTATGCCAGGCGACCTGCAGCTCTGGACGCCTTGCAAAGCACGCACACACATGCGTGTACACGTGTTCCTGCCTGAAGAGCCCTCCTAGGTGGCCTAGGAGATGGGGGCAGGAGAAGTCCCCCTCCAGGGAGGAGGGGAGGGGCTGGGGCAAGCAGCCTGGCTGCCTCGGGCTCGTGGGGAGCAGGGCAGGGGCAGTTCTGTGTGGCCAGCCAGCGTCACACAACCAGCAGCACCTCTTACTGCACACGTTCCTTCTGTTGCACGCACCCGCCTGGATTCAGGTGCTGGCCTCTGGGGTGAGGGGAGAAATGGGACAGGCCCCATGGAGAACGCAGGCTCCTCTCTTTGGCGG